GGAGGAAAGCCTGCGAGAGAGTTGGGATTGTTCAGCCTGGAGAAGAGAAGCTTTGGGGTGACCTAATTGTGGCCTCAGTGCCTGGAGGGAGCTACAAGAGAGATGGAGAGAGACTATTGACAAAAGCCTGGAGGGACAAGACACAGGGATTGGCTTCCCACTGCCAGAAGGCAGGGTTAGATGGGATATTGGGATGGAATTGTTCCCTGTGAGGGTGCTGAGGCACTGGCACAGGTTGCTCAGAGAAGCTGTGGCTGCTCCATCCCTGGAAGTGTTCCAGGCCAGGTTGGATGGGGCTTGGAGCAACCTGAGCTAGTGGAAGGGGTCTCTGTCCCATGGCAGGGAGTGGAACAAGGGGAGCTCTAAGTTCCATCTCACCTGCACCTTTCTGGGATCCAGTAATTCCTTCACTCCTCACTGAAGTGTTCCTACCAGGTAGGTGTATTGTTGGTTCCTCTGTGTGGGATGATGGATGGGACTGTTGTGTTTCCTCATGGATGGTGCTGCAGGTCAGTTACAGTTTGTGATGGAGCCAGAAGCTCCTGGAAAGCTTGTCCCAAATTTAAAGCTCCAGGGATTCCTGGTAAACTCTTTCCATAGGGGTCAGGTCAGGTGTTGATGTCAGGTAGTACCTAAAGGCTTTGTATTGGGAACATGAGGAGCAAAACAGCTTGTGACAGTGAAACATTGACCATTGCTCCTCTAAGCAATGCATACACAAGGTCAGCTCAGGAGGTACTTGTGGGAGCTTATGAAATTGAGACAAATAGTGTATTCAAATGAGATTCATTTAGAAACCAGATAAATCAATTCAGTTAAAGCCCTGCCAACCTCTGAAGACAAATTTGTGATGTGAAATGGAATTGGTGCTGCCTGACAGGAGAATTACCAGGAAATGGGAAGGGTAACCTGGAACATGCAGTCACTCCCCCAGTGAGGAGAAGAGTTCCCTTGGGCACCTGCAGACCCACAGCTCTGAGCATGACCACTGACCCTTGGCAAGGCTCCAGCTCTAGCCCAGTCCAAGCTGATCCATGGTCAAACAGTCCCATTAACCCTCTCTGCCCCAGGTCTGACCTGCTGCCCAGCACAGCCACCACACTGGTGTGACTGGGAAGCTGTCTGTGATGTGCCCAAGGTTCAGAGGGGTCATGGTGGGACTGAGGGTACTAGAAAGGATGAAGTGGTGGGGCTGAAGGTGCTGTGGGGATTAGGGGGCTGAACAGGATGGCAGGGACTGAAGGGACTGGGAGAACTGAAGGGACTGGGGTGGCTGAGGAGGATGACAGGATCCTATGGGAAGGCTGATCCTGTGGCACGTGCTCTGCCACACCAACACTGCTCAATGTTAGCTGGGAGCAATGTTTTGACAAGAAAGGACTATTTACTGGTTAACTTCTAGTCTTAGCAGTTCCAGTGTTATCAAGGCAGGCAGAGAAAAGCTGGTTGTGAGACTGGTGTGACCCACTGGCTTCTCATCCCTCAGCACCACTGCAGAATTGCTCCTGTGCACAATTAAACAGTTGATAATTACTATTTATGCGTGATATTTATTAAAGACTAAATAAGCTGTGAGGACACTCATGACTGGTGTCACGTCAGGCACTGACTGCTCCTGGTTGTTGAGTGAAGCTTTATCTCTTAAAGAGCATAAAGCCATCAGTGCTGACACGTTCAGCCCGAGGTGATCAATACCTGCCCTGAAACGGGTCTGAACTCAGCACAGAGAGAGAGATCAAAGCCTGTCCCTAACTGCAGCAATGCCTAGTGAATTAACAACCAGGGCTGGGTGTGATGTGCCATCATATCTCACCAGCCACCAAGCAAAACAAACACAGATTCAGGTGTAGTGGGAAACTGGTGGTGGTTGGGGTTACTCAGGTGCATTAATGGCTAACACTGAAGCTGCTGAGGATGTGAAGAGACTAAGCCTTGGCTGTGGAGGAGGAAGAGGAAGGTGATGAACACTGAGTGCTGCACAGGAGACAAAGTGAAGGACACAGGATTTCTGAGCAGCTCTCTGAGGCTGTGTGTCTGCCCAGGCAGTTTTGGGTGAATTTCTTTCCCAAAGTGTTGGGCTGCTGTGAAAGTGAGCTTGGGGTGCTGCCACTTGTTTATGGGACATCAGGTATCTCAGTGTCTCCAAAAATACCTATATGTGCTAAATTGTCCATAGATGAAAGGTGCTGTGTGCAGCCTCCAGTGTGTTTAAAATCAGCATTCAAAACCAAAAAATAGTTGCCCAGAGCAGCACACAGCTGCAGTCTCACCAATTTCAGGCCACTCGTGCAATTTTAGAATCACAGGATCATTATGGTTGGAAACCCCCTCTGAGATCATCAAGTCCAACCATTCCCCAGCACTGCCAAGGCCACCACTGACCATGGTGCCAAGTGCCACATCACAGAGCTGTTAAATCCTGCCAGGAGCAGTGACTCCACTACTGCCCTGGGCAGCTGTGCCAGGGCTGGACAGCCGTTTTTGGGAAGAAATTGTTCCTGATATCTAAGCTGAACCTCCCCTGGCATAGCTTGAGGCTGTTTCCTCTTGTCCTGTGCCTTGTTCCCTGGGAGCAGATCCTGACCCCACCTGGCTGCACCTCCTGGCAGGGACGTGGAGAGAGTGAGAAGGTTCTCCCTGAGCCTCCTTTTCTCCAGGCTGAGTCTCCACAGCTCTCTCAGCATTCCTCATAGGACGCCTGGCTGCACCTCCTGGCAGGGACGTGGAGAGAGTGAGAAGGTTCTCCCTGAGCCTCCTTTTCTCCAGGCTGAGTCTCCACAGCTCTCTCAGCATTCCTCATAGGAGCTGTGTCACACTTTCCTTCCTTTTCACCCCTGACCCCCCTCGGGCTGTCACCCCAAGTCTCATCCAGCTGCATCCCGTGGGAGTGATGTGAGCTGCCAGGGGCACTGGGGCTGAGAGGGACAGGGGAGGCTGAGGGATCCTGAGTGGAATGGCAGGAGCCAAGAGGATTGGGGGGGCTGAGGAGGATGGTGGGACTGAGGGTACTGGGGAGGCTGAAGGGTGGGAGGGCTGAGGGGAATAGGGTCTGAGGGGCTTGGGGGGCTAAGGGCACTGGGAAGTCTGAGGTGGGGATAGTGGGAGCTGAGGGATGACAGG